TTTAGGAATAATCAGACGCTTGCTAATATCAATGATTCGTTTTTAGATCGAATCAATGAATTGTTAAACGAATTCAATCAATGGCACCAGCGTGACCATGAAGAACAATAACGTCGTCTATCATTTTATTTTTAGATCATATGTTACTAATTTTATGCTTTATTGTAGTCCATGTATGTTGATATACTTATTCCATGATAATTATATGTTTATCCTTTTGTGTGATGTAAATTAAATGTTGAATGGCGGTTCATGCAGGGAAAGAAGATATCAATATTCGCATATTCATTCAAAAACATGAAAATTCTTAATGGAGTACCCTCATTTCTTATTGAATTCCTAAAAAATAATATTTATAATGAATTTTAATAATTTTTTCGAATTTTTTTTAAGCTTTATTCTGACCAATTCACCCGATTTTCGATCCGGATCGCCGATTCGCCAATCCGAATCGGTTTTTTGGAAGCCCGATCAGGGTCACCGATCCGTTTTTTAAACCATTGGCGTATACCATAACACTTTTGAGATATATTACGGTATGGTCTTATTTTTTCCATATTTTACATAGAGGTCTTGTTCTCTTATGGTTTTTATTTTTTCAATTTTAACCCCCGATCCTATGCTTGTAACATCATACTACTTTTTTATTTTAATTTAATTCTTTCTTTTGTTCTATGTGGCTATCCATTGGCTTGGAGGTATATTAGGGGTCAACCTGATATTCCAAATATCTAACAGCCCTGTAGTGAGCGGTCTAATATTTGGAACATCATATCACGTGAGCATGCATAGATGTTCGACGTTCCACACATTAATCGTTCACTACAAAAGCGATATGGTGTCACAAAAATTGCACCTTTTGCTCAAAACCTTAAATTTTTTTGAAGTGGAGCTGTCCAGTATTAGCGATAGTTCTACAGACCAAAAAATAACAAACAGTTTGATGTTGTAAATATCGGATTAGGTGTACAATTGGAAAAAGAACAAACACAAAAGTAGGATTTCTAGGTAGAATATGAGAGAAGTTGGGCCATACCACCAGAAATTACGATATGGGCATAATTTTTTCCTCTTTTAGCAAAGGACATTGGTTGATTAAAGGCAATTTTGCCATTTTAATGATATTTCCCCTTTCTGTAAATTGTTTGCTTTGACATTTGATGCTCCGCGGCCTAGCCCGGCCTTATTCCTTAAGGCCCAATGTTGGCCTTATCAAAGCTGGCCAGGCCTGTGCGGATAACTAAAGGAAAAGAAAGCAACAAAGATGAAAAAATAAGGATCGGGTCAGGCTGAACAAGGTCGAACTAGGCTTGTCTTGGTCGGGCACAAGCCCGGCCCTCGGGCCACATCTTCAGGCCTAGGCCCTAGTTTTTTAGGGCCAGAATGATCAGGAAGAGACGTGTAAAATTAAAGGAAAAGAAAGCAAAAGACATGGGTCTTGACCAAATGACTTGAATCCAGACCCGACCCAACCGGATCATGTTCAAGTAATTTGTACCTAGACCTGATTCGGACCAAGGTCTAGAAATTAAAAAAAATCAGAAAATCACTTTATATATTATAAAATACCAGGTCGGATCGACCATGCCCCGACCTGGATCGGGTCCAAGTTATTGGATTCGAACCGGACCCCACTGGGTCCAAAATGTGGGCTTTCGACCCGAACCTCACCTTACCCGATTGCCACCCCTATACGTATATTCCGAATTTTTCCATATTGAACTCTTCATAATCTCCAAATCTTCATGCTTTCCTTCTGTTTTTGTTGGTTCTCACTCGTGTTTTTTTTTCAGTGGATGTCATGAAAAATGAAAACAAGAGAATTGTAGAGTGCGATATCGGCTTTGATTACAGTGAGGGGAGTGGGAAAGGTCCTGAAGATTGGGGTAAGCTTTACCCCGAGTGGGCATCATGTAGTTACGGCCGCACCCAATCTCCCATCGACTTAGCAACCCAAATGCCAATCCCTGTATATGGCTCTCTTGGTTTACAGTACTACAAGCCCTATCCTGCCGTCTTACAGAATAAATGCCATGATATTGCGGTAAATACAAAAACCCCGCTCTATCGAAGATGGTTTGACAGTTATAGAAATCAGAAATTGTGTTTCCTATCTTGTAATTGTATATTACAAGATATGAAGTTTTTTATATTGAGTTTTCTATTTTGTGGGAATTATCATTGTAATAAGATTTGTCTCCTAAAAGACAAGAATTGTAAGTCTATAAATCATTGGTAAACTAAAGTAATCCGTATGAATGAGATATTAGTTGACACCCCTTAGACGTAAGCATCAATGCCGAACCACGTATATGTCTTATTGATTCTTCTTCTCCTTCTTCTCTATTTCATTCATTGCAAGTTCTATAGAGATGTGCTGGTTATTTGTATAATAGATTGCATGGAATGGGCCTACATGGGATGGACGTGCAGGAGGGATTTTACTTGATAATAAGTGCTACCAGCTGAGTGGATGTCATTGGCACTCACCTTCAGAGCATACCTTTGATGGCCATAGGTACTCTCTCTCTTTCTGTCTTGACAGTTATAGTAACCAAATATTAAGTTTCAGATGTATCTTGAGCTTCGACTTAATCATCATGACTTGTTCCATGTGTGTTAGAGACATCACTAGTACTAATATTAGGCAATGGCAAAAGATCTATTGAATATGTTTGTTTCTTAAAAAACAAAAATTGTAACTCTATAAATATCTGGTAAATCAGAGTAATCCCCATGAATGAGATATTGGTTTATCCTTTGTGAATATAAGCGTTATTGCCGAACCACACATATGCCTTGTTGAACTTTCTCTCTCTTTACCATTTCTATTGTTACAAATTCTACTCTCTCTCTCTTTTGTGTTGTATGTGAATTAATTTTGAGTGAGTGCAGGTCTCCACTTGAACTCCACATGGTTCACAAGAGTTCTGACAACCAAAGGATTGTAGTGGTTGGAGTCACATACGAGATTGGCGAGCCTGACATTGTACTTGAAAGGGTGAGGACAGGCCCTTAGCCTTACTCATTTCTTTTATATCCTAACTTAAACGTTATATCGTTGTAATTAATGTTTCTTTTTCTTTTTTTTGAATGTTCACTAATATAAGGGGCAAAGCTCCATAAGTACAATAGGGAAAGAGGAAAATTTTGAGAAATACAAGGAGTACTCCCTAAATCCATGGATGATCGCCAAGAAACTATCAAAAACAAGACAATCCTACACTTGACGGGTCCCAAACTTCCTACTGCCGAAGCACCCCACTAAGCCACGATAGACACTTTCATAGAATTTCCCAATCAAGCCTCCAAAAACCAATCCACACAGTCCCCCTAAAGAAAAAGGTCAGTCAATGAAGATTTGAGCCCCTACCTTTTGGTGAAAATAAAGTTAAATTTCATCATAGGACTTGTCGGTACTACTGCCAAGGCCCCAATCCATTCTCGGCACAATACCCCCTATGACACACTATTATACATCCTCTCATAAGCAATCACCTCCCAGACCTGGGTTTGGGCATTGCACAACCAGCTCAGCAGAAATGCCCCTAAGAAATATCATAAGACCATAGTGGTGCACCAGAAGGGGCAAAATGCAATCACCAACCCAAGAAATAGGTTTACAAGAAAGGTCAAAGGGGAGGAAGGCGGGAAGAAAGGAAACTCGAAGGAAATAATGTGGAAGAGCTAAATGGATAGGGAGAGAACTAAAGAGGAGGAGGTGGGAAAGCTAGGGGAGTCCTGGGACTAGGGACCTCCCACCAGAAGTGCACCCCAGCTCTCAACAAAACCCCCCTGAAATGTCCATTGTTGAGTATGGATGATGGACCTTTAAGTGGGGCTCTCAATGGTACTGACACCACGATCCTGGCTCCATTCTCGATTGTCCACTGTTGAGTATGGATGATGGACCTTTAAGTGGGGCTCTCAATGGTACTAACGCCACGATCCCGGCTCCATTCTTGATTGTCCATTGTTGAGTATGGATGATGGACCTGATACACATCATTTATTTGTGGTATATTACAAAGATTATAGTTGGCAATCCCCTGGTTTATATAACTGTAGACATAAGACAGTTGCATAAGCTCTCCCTCTCTCTCTCTTTTTCTCAATGCCCCCTTCTTCCCATTGTCGACCACCTCTGGTTCAAGCTAGAACAAAAAAATCTAAAAAAATCGACTGATTCACTCCCTAACCCACCCTAACCCATTTGGAATTGATGGGGTGGGAGTCCACTCCATGATTTACTCCCTTGTACACCAAAAACATTTAAATCTTATACTACGAGACCATTTATATTTGGTACAAGAAATTGCACAATCATCCGCAGCTGCCAGATACGAAATCTAGAGATGTGTGACATCTCTAGACACCCAATTTCATATCTAATGGTTAAGAGCCAATGTAACCATCTCATACTAAAGCTAGATAGTCTTATTATATGCCTTTTCAAGATAGTTTTATGCCACTCTTGGTCATTGACTAGTTTAATAATTTCGCAAAAAATTGAATGTAGTTGATGGAGTACATAAAGTCCTTGGGCTTAGACAAGTGCGTGGGTGTAGGCGAACTGAATCCAAGAGATGTATTATTTGGCCAGTTTCTTGAATACCGGCCTGCATATTACAGATACAATGGCTCCTTAACTACTCCCCCATGCACTGAAAATGTCGACTGGATCGTACTTAAAAAGGTAAGAACAAATGTACCCAAATTTCTGAACTTCATAAAACTGTGTTTTTTCTTTTTCTTTTTTTTGGCCATTTTTTCCTTTCTTTAAGTGACTTCCAAAAACGCCGTTTGTTTCCTTTCAAGAAATTCTATTTCCTTTTCTCATGTTTCAGAAGAAATCTGTTTCATGGCAACAACTGGTAGCACTGAGAGAAGCAGTTGGTTGTGTAAGTTTTCCAAGCTTTTGCATTTTATTTAAACCAGGACACCATTATTCACCTCAAGGAAAAGGAGGGAAGGATATAATTTTACTCATTGCTTGGCTTTTGCAGGGCTATCAGTCAAATGCAAGGCCCACGCAACCCATAAATGATAGACCGGTGTGGTTTTATGGTCCATTTAGGAGTGCCATCTCTTATTGAACTCTCCCTCTATCACTCTTATCTCAACCCATGAGTAATAGAGTAGTTGTCAATGCTATATCTTATAAACAAAATAAATCTCTCTGATGATAATGTCTATGTGATTTTGTGCCTTTCCCACTACATATTAGTCCATCAATTTGTCTGCCCCCTGTAGTATTTGGCACTGTGGTATATTAGGGAAGTATAGATAGCTTGTACTTATCCACATATATAATAACTGGGGTTGTTTTATGTATAATTGATGGTACATTAGTGGTGGTTTGTTGCAGCTCGTATTTGTTTTTTCTTTACTATGGACAATTCATGCGCCTGTAACGAATCTCACCCAAATTTTAACAAGAAATTCACATTTACCTCTTTAGTCATGGACCTTGAACATTTAAT